ATTCGCACTTGGAGAATCGCTTTTTCGACTACCTGCGGTCGCAGTCTCAAATTTGTCTGCTGCAGTGCGTCATTCTCGATGTTCACCCTGAAGGTTAGCCTCGCCAACACTAGTCTTCGGTCACTTCCGGTGTAAAGTGACCGTATTGCTGCCATGTTTCTGATGATACTGCGTTTATCGAGCAGACGAAGTCGATCTCGCTGTTCGTCGCCGCGTTGGAGCGATCCATGTCCACTTTGTATCTTCTTCTTCTTTTTCATGTACGAGATCTTGTCAATGAACGGGTTTAGGGTTTCTGCCATTGTCACTAGGCGATCTCCTAGCCTATTTCGCTCTCTAATGCCGCACCTACCTAGGAACAGTTTACTAGCCCCTTTTCTTCCGACCATGGCAGTGAGGTTTCCCATGACGAGGGCGTAGCTGAACTTTGGGACCAATGCCAGTTCTTGATAGAATCCCTGCACTTCCTCTCCTCATCCGTACTGACTGTCGTGCAGTTTCTCTTCTTCTTCATGATGCAGCATGCCAATTCTTGGTGACCTCACATGATAAGAGAAAAATCTGAAGTTCTAACTCTAGACAACAACAATTCTGATTCCTCGCATGTTTTGTGCACCCTCTACTCTTCCTAGACAAATCTGGCTATCCTCTTTCCAGTGGCGATTCATCCTCTTCTTCATCGTGCCATGCAGAGGACAATAATGTAGCACAGTATCCATGACATTTTCTCTGTTAGCTGGTTAATATTTCTTCCCTCGCCAGTGTTCTGCAGCTGTCAGTGCAAATAGCGATGGAAATTCGGGTCGTCTGACCAGATGGCGGCTTTTCAAGAGAAATTTTCAGGAGCTTCTCTTCAGTGGAAATGCAAACCTCCACAGTGGAACTGGTCGAGTGACGCGTAGGGTACTGAGGCCCGCTGATTTAAGTTTTCATAGCGTCTGAAATTTTGCCATTCATAGGCAGGGCTGACGTTAGCCTAAGGAATTTCGTACAGACGAGTACTGTATCACCTCAAGTATTCATATCGATGTTTTCTCGTCTTGCATTTAACAAACCCTTGTCTATCTGCAAGATAGCGCTGACACTGGCGGCAATTTTTTATTCAAGGTAGTGGGTCGATTGTCGTGAGACTGACACTAGAATTCTGTGACTTTTCTACTGAGGATCGAACTTGTCGAGCTTTAACTCACCATGTCCTGGCATTCTTATCGCTAACTGCCCATGACAGCTTATTTTCCCCAGCTAGTCTCAATATTCGGAGGTTGTTCCCTTATTCCCAACATGAGCACGCGCCGTATGGCCAGCAGCTAAGCACACAGGATATGTAACAAATGATGAATAAAGTTGTGCGTAATTTTTAATAGGTGGAAAAGAAACGCTTCTAGATGTAAGCATGAAGGGCATTTGCTGAGGTATTTATTCAGATTTATTAATTATAATAAATGAGTTACTTCGCATGCTTTTCAGCGGTGTTGGTGCAATGGATTCCCGGAGAATATTGCAGAACAAAAGAAAATTAGGCCTCTAGGAGTAGTATCACAAAAGGATGCGGTGCGTTGGTGACGACGCAAAGGATGTATGTCACTCAAAGCATAGATCACTTTGGGAACCTGCGATCGTCTGTATTTTGTCACTTCAGCCAGAGGTAGAAAGAGCTTAATCATCATTTTCTCTGAGCAAGGACAATGAAAATGTCAGAGGTGGCACTGCGCTAGCGAAAATCATGCGAGTGTGATAGTGGGTTGCTTTGACGGTAGCTTCGCGACTGTCATCGCCACAGGATGGACGGATGGATGAATTGAGGAATACGCCATACATTTTCTGAGATCATCACTTTGAGTCGTCTGCCTAAGTAGGACACCTCTGGCTTATGAT